CCTTTTTTCCAGTAAGACTTTTCCAGGCACAGTGCTTGGTACTAGTGACTTGCTGGTTTATCTAACTGGCCGGCTTGTAATAGTGCACGTACAATTATATCATTCAATATTAATCCTTTGCTAATCAAATAAAGATGTGCTTGAAAATTAGCTCAAATAATGAGGCCTTCTGTTTCTCCGAAAGCGTATTTTACTTCAAAAAATACGCTCCTTAAAAACGTGTCTAGGATTACTTTTTAGTGTTCTAAATGCTAAATTCCAAACGGAAGGCTTTTTTAAACTTTCTTTATTTGAAACCCCACACGAACCGCCCGCTATCTGGCCAAAATTGCTCAAAATCCAATCTATCTGAGTGCTAAGTCAATAGGAATCCAAATACCTGTATGACGGTGGCTTAATTTAAGTACGTTCATATATCCTTCCTATGATTCCGGATTGGTTTTGCAGTATAGTAAGTACCAGGTGCTATCCGTCGGTATCCGCTGTGAAAGTTTCTGGCTAAACCCCAAATATCCGTTTTAGCTTTAAGCGTCGTGATAAAGAGCGAGTATGTAATGCTAATCTTTTCAATGCGGAGTTTTGAGCCCTAAGTAGCGATGGACCTATTGCAAGGCCAGTAATTGAATCAAACAGCAAAACCAATCGAGGAAGGCATTTAGATGGATCGACTCTCGCATACCAACACGCAACTAAAATAGCTCCGCGAAAACGTTCTTTGAAAAAAATATTACTGGAGTAATGAAATGTTAATCTTAAAGTAGAAGCTAAGCCTAATGATCTTTAGCTAGAGATGTAGACGGATTATTCTATTGCGAGGGAATAAGAAGGCTTGGCGAGTTGGGAGACCGGAGATGGATGGTAGATGCGAAGACAGCGGTGATGTGTCATCAACAGACGGGGCAACAAGTGACAGGGAATCTTTTTCTGATCGGCCCCGCCCTCTTTCGCCTTTTTCCTTGTTGTTTATCTAACAATTCACTAAAGTATTGAATGGTTTGAGCGGTTCAGTCTATACTGACAAGGGTATTCACACGTAAAAGTTAACTGCGCTATGAAAGTTACTCGCAACATCAGTCTGGTAGCTGCTGATGACATTACTACATCTGAAGTTGGGTAGACATTCGAGTGGATTGAATAAGTACTTCAAATTATCGTTCATCTCTTCACGCCTCATTAATACAAAGAGTTATAAGGACGTAAGATGAAGAAGAATGTACAAAAGCAAGGTGGAAAGAACATTGATCTATACAATAAGTGTGAAATAATAAGTGAGCTAAAACAATTGGTATCAAGTAGGCGTGATTTAAGTCCTATGAGATGACTAAACCTTTTAACTTTAGTACACCTTTTGCTGTTCATTAAACGCAAAGGAATATTCATTAAAGCGAAGAAGCATTGTCATTAGAGCGAACAGGCATACAATAAGTAAATAAATGTCCAAAACGCTGTATTGAGTGTGTGTTGTATTTTATTGTCTGCACCAAAACGCTAATGAAAGTTTGAAAACGTTAATGAACCCACGCAAACATATTCATGATTGTCAAATTCTATGCTAAATTTCTTAATGAACGTTCTATCGCACTATTGAGACTCCGTTCGCCTTAWTGTATGCCTGTTCGCTCTAATGAAAATGCTTCTTCACTTCAATGAATATTCCTTTGCGGTTAATGAATAGCAAAAGGTGTAAAGTCACACAGAAATTTACACATTAAGAACAGTCAGCTTTAAGGAGCATAACCAAAACTAAAAAACCTACGACTAAAAGTCTAAACTAAGTTGTAAGGAATTTTCTTTTTGAAAATGGAAGTGGAAATGGCTCGCGGGTTAATACACCTCTTTCATTGGGCTTAAAGTTTTCCCATTTTAGACGACGCGTCAATCCCTAGATTATCATTTCTTTGTTTAACGGATGCGCGCAAAAAGACGCATGAACATGGATACAACTCAAACAAAGAATACTATTCTCGAGAGAATGACACGTGGTCTGAAATGGGAAAACATTACACCCTAGCTAAGAGGTCACTTCCAACGAAGTCTGCATGCTGGCTATATGGTTCTGTTATGAAAACTTGTTTAACTTGTCTCTAGCAGTATGCATGTACTATGTTAAATGAACCAGCGAAAACCTGGCTTTTACGGTCACCTATTTTAACTCCTAAAATGTAGCATAATGGACGCCGTGTTAATGCGGATACTTTCTCTTATGCGGATATCGTTGTCCGTATTGAAGGTTTCGACAAGCTGTTCCTATATTTATATAGCAAGCCCGCCACGTTTTATAGTATAAATTGTACAAGTACTGCTCTTCTAAATGAGTCTAAACGTGAAAGTGGTTCTCGCGTGGTGAACCTCGGCAGTTTTAGTCTTAGCTGTCAATTTTCAAGGCGTTTATATCAAGGCCAGTTCGTCTCAACTACTCAATGTCCATCTTTCTCATGCCTCAGACTTCTCCTCTTATTCACTCTAGACTACTAGATCTCTTATTGTCTCTTTTTTGACAATTCAAAGGCTTAAAGAAAACGCTTTTCAAACAAGTGTTGACTTTAATCGGGATTAACTATAAACCAATTAATACCCGACGACACTTCACCATCGAGAAAAAAAGGCAAAAGAAAATGACTGAAAGACGGTGTGGTTTTTGGAAATATCTGTCAGTACCCTCAATAATTTTAGTTCGTTATACTTACGTATTGCGAAGCTCACCGATTCCGAGCTACTCAGATCGAAGTACATGTTAAAATCAGTGCGTCGAACCAATTGTAATAGTGAAAAAATGGTTTCGCAAGCTTTGTTCCTTATCATAACGATGCAGTTTCTATGTGTTCGCTCGTTTCATRCTCACAAGTTCGGGCCTCGATAAGATTCTGTGTTTTTTGGACCTCTGTTTAAAGGTTAAGGATTACCGATTATCAAATTGAAATTCAGCCATTGGTTGACATGGCACAAAAAAAAAAGGCATGATCAATTGTCTAGAACTTTTAAAATAAACATGAATAAATTTGGATTACTCCTTATGAATTAGTGAGCAATATTTGTGTTAACACAAGAAAATGACAGGATGAACAGAAAAAAACAGTCAGTTATACTTATAAATCTTAACTTTAGTTTTGTCTGTCAAGCTTACATTATTTTACTTTCTTCCATAAAGATTTAAAACATTTTTTTCTTCGCTAAATTAAGGGTTTAAGAAAAAGCTATTACTATTCTGGAAGTTTTCCTTAACTAATCAATTTCTAAACAAAAATAAACTTAATAACAAAATAGAACATAAATATTTTAGCTTAGTTTGGGAGTTTGGAAAAAAGATTGACAAGCATATTGCAATATTTTTAGCATCGGCGCGTAACTCTTTCGACAACCTAAAATCTGATTACACGCTAATGTTTTGTTTTAATACGCTAAAGTCTAAGAACATCGAAAAATGTTATCTACTTTTCTTTCAAGCTTCAGTTTTTTATCCTAATTACAGATTAAAAGTCGTAGGAAGAAGTAATGGTTTATTCACAGCTAAAACGCTTGGTCTTCCGGCTCGCCGGCTCTCAGTCGGTCAAAATAGAACTCACTAAAAGCTTGTCTTGTTAATAAGTTGGGATTTGTTTGACAAATGTTATACTGATATTTTTGTTATAAATAACACTTTAATTTAGTCTGCGTTGATCAATAAAAACACATAAAAAACCCAGGAATTTTTCCATTAGGAATTCAATTTTGAAGAAAAGTTATTAAAATTGTTGTTTTTTTAGGTTTAGTAATGTCATTTATTTTGACTCTTTTTATTTCTAGTAGCTGTATCCTTTTATTATTAATGTTGTTTATGCGTTTTCTTGAATATGTTTTGTGTTTAAGAGTCATTCTTATCTCGTGGGTTCATTATGGGGCACAAGAGTTGAATCAGGGTGCAGATAAGGTTGACAGAGAGCGTGACCATATAGCGCGCGCACCTACCCACCAAGACTGCGAATGACAGTTTTTTGTATCTCATATCTAACATTTTCTTGATTAATTTGAACTCCTTAGCCAAAATACACCACAAGAGCGCCACATCTTAGAAACCATTTGTGATAGAAGTACAGATAAATTAATACAAGACGCCTCATTCAAAAATAACGTGTTTGAAATATTAATTTTGCATGACTTTTTGAGTGTTTTGTTTTTCTGTCTGTCGACAAAAGTCGGTCGAGATCAGTTAAACACGGATTAAGAAACCCCGAATAACTTTCTTATACTAAATAGAATTCTATCCCTTGCCGTATTCCTTTCCATTTTATTTTCAATCCCAAGATATTTATTTATATTTCTACTAAACATCTTACTGTATGGTTTCAGATCCGGACGTTTGCGCCGATTAACACTTAGTTATATTGTCTTTGCGCATTGAACATGGTGCCAATGGGCTACTAAAAGTCTATCTGATAAAACGGCTAAAATTCCGGAACTAAAAGAATGCGTTTGGTTAACTTAGTAAGAGCTCATTTGTGGTAAACATTATCTGAAAAGGCGATAGAGGACGAGCGAAGAAAATAGACTATCGCCTGTTATCTAAGTCATTTCTGAAAGTACCTACGAAATAAGAGACCTCCTTTTACAATGTGCATATATTAATAAGGAAATCGCTTTACGAAAGCTCTCTTTGCATTTCTTGGACAAGAGTTCAAGATGGTTTTTGATGGCTTAAGGAGTGTGATGTTCAATCAAAAGAATGTAAGATATCGCACATAGGAAGAAGATTTTTTCACGATGAAAACTTAATGGTCCGTATTTGCCGCTTCGAATCAAGAGTTTACTAAGCTGATCAGTTTGCGCATAAACAGCGATATTTTATCAGGGATTGGTGTTCGTACACCTTTAAGTAGATTTACTTCTTCATTTATATCTTTGGCTCGAAATATTTTGGGCCTTAAGCTTAAGGAGTCAAGACAGTCTGACTCCGGGTGGCTGGACCGAAAATAATTTCTTGAAATAATCACATTGAAGAGAGATCGTAAAAATAAAGTGCTCACCTCAACTGCTCTTTTTATCCTTGATTTTCTTGGAGAAAAACTTGCACTGCTGAAAAAAAGCAAACCCGGTCACTTTTGTTGGGTTTCTTAGCTTCTCGTATCAACACGAAAACTTAGAATAATGATCGATTCTAATGGGCTAAACTTTGGAGACTTCTCGAGGGAAACATTGGGCGGCGAGTTTGTTAAAACCGTGGGCACGCAGATCGCGAATGAAAGGGGTTGAAAATGTGGCATCCGTTAGACTCTTAGACTATTCGACCATGCATTTAGAACTATGAAGTTACCGTATAAGATGAAACAGTTTGACGCTTGTAGATCTTGAAAAGCAAACACAGCCCGCTTGAAGCACAAGCGTTGACGTACGAAGGCTCGCCGATCAGCTTAGCTTGGCGAACACAAAATATGTTTATAAATTTTGAAGTACGTGTATTGCAAAGGCTTCTCGACGCCGCTCTCTGATCTCATTTGTGGACGTAACCTTGTGATATGACAGTCTGACAAACTCGCGATCAGTGGCGGGCCATTTAACAAAACAGAACCAAAATTCCCCACAAGATGTTGAGATAACTATGCTATAATTAAACAATCCATCCCAGTCAATTAGCGAGTCATTGCAAGACTATTTGCCGAGCCGATCACGCATGAAGGCTAGGTGAATTTAATCAACCCACTTGGAGATTGTAGATGTTCTAAGTTTACACTTTAATTTGACATACGGAATATCTTATATCTGAGTTGCTAAGCAGCTTGCACCAGTAGTCTTTGACTTGACTATGGAATAACAGTAGGAATATTTAACTTAAATGAAGTTAGATGCTTTTTATTCTTTAACTGGAAGTGGCTTTTGTTATTTGTGGTATTTTTTTATAGATTGTACAACAGAAATTAATAAAAATCATTTTTATAAGGTCTATGGCACGCTTCGATAGCATGGACAATTCGCTGTACTTGAGCCTGATAACGATCGAATTCCATTTAAAAAATTCGAGTTATTGCATCGGAAAAGGGCGTTATTGGCAACAGAGCTAGCGATACCATTTTTGTGTTTTCGCAAAGTGATATATTAGTAGAATATTAGATCATTTTGACATGAAGTCATCATAACGTTTGAGTTCCTTGGATGAAGTAGAAAAGGGAGATAAGTTTTTACCTTTTAATAAGGTCTTTTTTCAATAGCAAAGTCCAAAACAAGGTTCTCCGACCATCATGTCTTTCTTCTTAATTATTTTTTCCAAAAACCACAAATAATCGGTAAACGGCCCATCGTAAATTACTCCCATTGATATGCAAACCTACAATTTGAGTCTTTTACAAGAAGCAAAGGGAAAAACGTTCTTACTGACACTAACCTCGCGTCATCGATAACTGGAGGATATTATTATTAACGCGGAGCAAGAGTATAACACCTCGTTAACGATCCCCAATTCTATGGACACCCACAGCAAGCACCTTTTGAGTCATAGTTCTGATCAGAATAATAATCATAATGCGTTGTTTTGTTTGCTCAATCTTAACATAAATTTATAGATTATGCATGGGCCAAGTATAAGATTAAGTTAAATATTTATAAACTATTTGTTTAGCCTCCAGCCATATTTTGTAGTTAATTAATTAATAACAACTGTAAATAAAAATGGAAATAAATAAATATTAAATTAACTATATGTTCACATATACTCGATATATATAAGTATATATACACACACAGACGTATAATACACCTATTTCCAAAAAACGTCGGAACCAAAATTGATGAGATAGGCGATCATTCCAATATCTAAAGGAATTAATTTGCATATACCTAAACACGAATAATCTGGGCCTTTAAGATGTTTTTTTTACTACAAACGACATTGAATATCTGAACACTCTTGACGAGAATAAGAAGCAGAAACACAAGCCATTTCAGATCAGTTTTTTTATCTTGGAATGACCTATCTCCTTTCTCCTAATGCCCGTTGCCTATTGCCTATTGCCTGTTGCTTGTTGTCTATTGCCTGTTGCCTGTTGCCTATTGCCTGTTGCCTATTGCCTATTGCCTATTGCCTATTGCCTATCGCCTTTGCCGTCTCCGAAACCCTGGTGCACATACACGTTCTTTTGAAGAACGCATATTTACAACTAAGAACTTTGAACCTTTTTTTTTTTTTATTATTAACACACATTAATAGAAATAAAAGAATTATTACAAGGATATAATTATGGAAATTATAAGAGCCAATGATTTACAATTGAAATATAGAAACACTTCAGTACGAATTATAATGGAAATTTTAAAATAGAGGTAAGCTTTCACACTATTCTTAAAATTTGCTTTTAAAAGCCTAATACTCGGAAATGCAAAGAAATAACGCGTCTTTTAAACTGAATCAATTGATGTTTTATCTACATATTATTTCCGAGCTTTCGGATCTTAGACAAAAGTTTTTTTGTTTGTAGAGAACAATAGCAATCTCTCTTTTTTCGCTTCTAAGTCACTGACTCCAGTTGAGTAAATAAAAATAAGTGAAAAGGATCTCTGGGTTCGATCTCGATTTGAATGTCACTGATGTGGCCTCAGGGAAGATTCAAACACAACAAATCCATTGATTGAGTTTGGCTTGCTACTGAGGAGAGCCCGCAGTTGGTAATAAATTACTCATCTAGCTTTCGGCGTGAAATTACAGCTCCCGACACCTTCCTACGCAAAGAATTTTAATCAAAAAGATACGAAGCAAAGACCTCCCGGCATTAGAGCATCGATGTGGACGAAATTAAAGAAGATGGGCGACAATCAATGACGACCAAATGAGAGTCGATAAAACAAATGATACTGAAAGGATAAAAAGGACTGCAATGAGATTCCCCCGTTAGAGTTCCTGTTCCATTAAGCAATTTTTTGGGGAAATAATTTCCGATTTCCTCATTGATGGGGTATGAACCCCGAAGAAACACATACAAATTTTTTAGTATAATCCGAGAGTAGCATACGCACTATACTAAGAACTAGCCTTGCGGAGCTTCGCGTGCACCAAGCTAAAGATAGACAAACATTAAAAGAACCGATTGTTGAATTTCCTAAAATGCGTTGAACGTTAAGTTGAACAAAACGCTCACAATAATCCGGAAATAACAACCGATATGATGATGTAGGAAACCATCCCACGTAAAGCGTACTTACGTCCGTGTAGGTAAGATTGATATTCGGTATTTCAAAGGTTTGAGTAAGATAGCATAGTCATTAACGGATATTCAAAAGATATTCAATGTTTTACTCAGTCAGAGTGGCGAGCTCATGTCCTTTTTTAAATTTGGTGTTACATATTCAAAACATGAGAGATTAAAAGGAAAAACATAGTGTAAAACTACACAGGATATAAGCAGACGAATGCTAAAGAAATTTATGTGTCATAATTTGTAATAGGAAAAGGTCAGGAATAAAGGCGAAGCAGACAACGTGGCGCAACATCTCGTGCAGCAAATTGAATCGTGTGTCATAGCTCGTAACATCGATTGCCTGAAACATTGCTTGCGCGCAATGTTGCACCGCATATCCGTAGCTTTAAAGGTGAAGACACGTACACGGTGCAACATTGCACACAACATTGCGCGCAACAGGATCGTTGCAGAATTTATCTTGGGAGTTGAAGCATGCTTTACTTCTGCAACATCGCGCGCGACAAATTCCATCCTGTAAACATGGATGCCACTGATCGCACACAATATATTTTTTTTTAATGAGGTTGCTCTAAAATGAAAACCGCTGGCCAGACGTCTTTGTATAGCAAGCGTGGCTCAAAGGACGACGCCATATTGGAATGATGCCGCGCGCTATGTTGCCTCTAATGTTTCTCAGTGTCTGCTGCGTAATGTTACTTCTCATATTCCAATCCAACTAGCCGCCATCTTGGATTGATGACGGCATTTTGAATCTTTGCATTCAAACCAAGTCAACCACTTAACTTACATTCGATAACATTTTGTTACATTGCCAAGGCGCGACATAGTGAAAAATGTTTTGTAAAATTTATTTCGTGACAGAAATTTCATTGACAAGAGAAGAAAATAGTTATATACATGATTTTCGTGATAATATTCGACTTTCTTATCTTTGAAACGCAGTAACAGCCAATTAACAAACATTATTAGTAGAACAAATATTTTGAAAAGAACTAAAAAGATTCAGGTTTTTTTTTCACAAATCACATGCTAAAATATCAAACTATAATTATTCAATTTGTACGTGTGTGATGAGTTTTTTTTCTTTTTTCTATTGTAATAAAACTGATGATGTCCAAACACCGTATCATTTCCTAAATAAAATACGGCAGGTTTTCCAATTCAAAATGACTCTAAAAATAGTATTATCTTGACTAGATTTAGAACCCTATTAATGTATCATTTGTAATTTATTGGACGAAAATAACCTGGAATTCTTTTGAGGTTAGCTTAACGTCTAGTCTTTTGTACTAGCCCAACCCTACCACGCCTAACGTCATAACGTTGAACGAAAAGTGACAAAATGAATGACGTCACTAATAGGAAAAAACACAGAAACGAACAGTTATTAATTTCAAAGTGGCAAAGACGACTTAGAACTGAATAATTGATCCTCTTTTAGTCTATATATTTTAAACATTTTACATAGGATGCAAAACGTTTTCAAAAAGAAAAGTTCTTGTAGACGCACACATGTGCACAAGATAACCTCAGTAGGTCAAGTTTAACTTTTAAAAATCAGAAAAATTGTATTCTCGGTGGGATTTTAAGTAACTATTTACTCAACAGATAGCCGAGTTCTTCGCGATGAAGATGATAAAAAAGCAAAACAATCTCTTAAGATAATGTTATTTTTGTAGGATCGCTAAGTGGTTATATAACGAACAGATAACCTCGTATGTTGAGGTCAAACAATCTTAATGAATGTAACACTAAACGAAACGATTAACTGAAAGTCTTATCTTCGTTGCTAATAATGTTTTGTTATCGGCAAGCGAATTTTCTAGGAGAAAAACAGCTTTGTTTTGTAACAAATATAGATCGAAGTGTAAACTACCTTGTTTATGATAATCTCAAGATGTCTTAAAATAAACTACAGACAAAACGTCTCTACTAGATGACAAAGAAAAAAATGAAATTCTTCTGCCATGATGTCATCGTCTTGGATTTTTGGATGTTTTCATGTTTTATTTCAGTTTTATTCCATTTTTATTCCTTTTGCATAGAAAAATTCACAACACTTTGCATCTTGTGTTTCCCCTTTTATTTCATCAAAATTTCAATGGGAGCGGATAATCGCAGGTTTTGTGTGAGTTGCATGGGGAAAGCTCGGAGCTGACTTACTGCACGTACACAGCATATAACGATATCATGTGACACTGAAATGGCTTCCTATTGTTTTGCGCCAATTTCCTCCAATAAGAGGCCTAGTTACTGTTGCCGCATAAGAACATTTTCATGGATACCCTTAATACGAATAAGCGCGGCATATTTCAGTACTGTTCTTACGGAAATGCA